TTGAGTACGCATACTGCAACCCCTGACACTGCCAGAGGGGGTGATGCCCATGACTCTTGGTGGGCAACAGTGGATGGGCCATTGCCACAAGGGGAGGGGCCACCGGAGTGTCATTTGGGTTGATGACACTTGTCTCAGTGGTGATAATTTGCCACCTCTCCCTTTCTTCCTCCCTTTCCCCCTACCATCATCCTCTCCCACTCCAGCCTCAAACCTGTTTCATGGGGCCCTAAGTACCACACGGAAGGTTCTGCTTTATCTACAGCCACCCCAGCCCCTTGAACCCTGTATTTCCCAGAGGGCAAACTCCCTGCAAGGAGGCCACCAGCACCCATTAGTGCCTGATGCTATCCTGAGTTCCTTAACCTAGGAAAATTTAAAAAGGAGTGGGAATCCAGTGTTGCTTCACCAAATCCTTCTGCATCCACAGACTGGGCCTTCAGAATAATGCACTCCCACCGCATAATGCTGAGTACATGCATTCATCTCTCAGTTTACCTTATGCGTATATCTGTCCGTCTCTTGGAGCAAAATCTTCTTAAGCTAACCCCCTAACATTCTGATTATAGATGGTAATCCTTTGCACCGTGAAGTTGTGATAGGCATGCCTGATTTGTAGCTAATTTTGAAAGACAGCGCTGTCTTTTGACATGCACTTGCTCACATGACAAGACACAAACCTAACATTTATCTGAGATCAGGCTCTGCGGAGATCCTATTCTGTGTCTCTCCGTTGTCTGTAGCCCTCATAGTGGCGTTCCTCGTAAACCAACGGAAGAATTCAGTGTTACCTCTCTGGACAGACCATGCTAGCTTTGAGGATCTCTTCCGTCTTCCGAATCTCATCACTTAATACAGCTCCATGACAGGGAGCAGAAGCCGACTTTAACTTCATTGCTCCATTCTTCTGCTCACGGCAACAAGGATACTGGGTTCTGGGACGCGCACCCTGATCATGGATAAGGTCAAAAAGATAGGATAGCATGATTAAAGGGTGTTCCGTCTTCAGGGAAGCATGTCTTGAACTTACAATGGAGAGAACAATCAGGAGTTTGAAAATCACGGCATAAAAGTGTGAAGCAACCAATTGCTTCCATCCGGAGCTTCACAAAAGAGAAATGGGCTCCGAGAGGATTCTGACCCCAAATCCCTTTATAATGGGCTACTTCATCCTAGCAGCCTCATCCTGGTCGAAATGAACCAAACTGTTGTACTATTAGGATGTTGATGCAGCTTTTCCTACTTGAAGAGTTAGGAGCAAGCACATACCTCAGTGCCATCTAGTCGATGCCCACACACAGGGGCCCTAGGGCAGGATAGAACTGCCCCTGTGAGTTTCTGAGGCTGTAACCCTTTACAACTCCTGTGGACCCAAGTCTCACGTTCAAAGCAAGACCTTTGGTTATTCTTATTATTTTTGGCCATTGTTGTTGTTGTTCCTATATAAATTCAGTGTTTGGATGGAATGTAACATTTATGTATATGCTGTAATTTGTTTTGCATAGTGTAAAAGTGAATCACTTGAGACCAGATAGTTAATTGTATTATTTCAGCAAGCACAGTTTAGGAACTGAAGACATGCCAGAAACTGGTGTTGGGATCAAATAAACCTCTGAGTTGATACTTGGCCAAGGAGTGAGAGGGGATCTGGAGAGACCTGCCTAGGAAACCGAGCTCCTCTAGAGAGCTCTGATCACCTCTGGCCTGTGAAAAGAGAAACTGACTTCATCAGATTCGCAGAGACAAAACGAATCTTACTGCCATCCAGTCCACACCGTCTCTTAGCAACCCCACATAGGGTGTCCGAGACTGAAAACCTCCCCGGAGTAGACAGTCTCATCTTTCTACCTTGGAGCAGCTGGTGTATGTGAACCCTGCTTACCCAACGAGTAAGCACACCGTGCTTATGCACACATTGGGCTGCGATGCACAAGGTCAGCATTTCGAAACCACCAGGCTCTCGGTGAGAGAAAGACAGGGCTTTCTAGTCCAGTACACGGTTGCACTCTTGGAAACTCGCAGGAGCAGTTCTACCCCATCCTATAGGGTCACGATGAGTTGGCGCTGACTTGATGGCAGTGAGTGTTTTGAGCTTACCCAACAGCGCCACCAGGGCACCTTGGAGATTTCAAGGGGGCCCCACATAGGGCTTGGGGTTCCAGCTGCAGCTCAGGGGGCGTAGAGTTTGGTGTTCAGGCTTCTGTGAGCCCCTCATATCCCAGCCTCAGGTCAGTCAGCTGCAAACCTGCTTGGTGACAGGTAGGGTGCTCAGCATCCTTTCAGAGGAGCCACCTCCCTGCTAACTCTGAGGGTGATGGTAGCAAAGCTGTCAGGCTTAATTTCAACAAGTTGTTTGGGGTGATTGGTCACTTCTAATTGCTCATGGAAATCGTAATTTTAGGTGACAAGATTATTATATGCTGCTTGTGAAGGGGTTCTCTAGGGTCAAGAGAACACCACCGAGATTTCTAAGACCTGTTCTCTTCCATCTTTTGCATCATCCTTGAAATCTCCAGCAATGACACTGCAGACATCAGCCCCCTGCTGTGACAGAGGACAAGAGTGAGGGGCTTCTTTGGCTTCCTGCCAAGCAAAGGATGAAAGCAGGCCTTTCAACTCTGCCCTGCAACTGCCAGCCCCTGGCAGCCTCAGGGACCGTGCTGATCATTAACTTGAAAAGCGGGTGGGGGGAAGTTTCTAGTTCTCCCATTTGCTTGTTCACCTGGCCAGCCAAGCCGCTTTAGCATCAAGTGGATTTTGAATAAATAGTGTCTTAGGGGGTGAAATATTTGACCCGCTCCTGTTGAAGATGTTTGTTGTTTTTCATTTCACTGAGCCAAAGGGGTAGTGTGACCTAATGGCTCACCAGGTGCTGACTCAGGGGGAAGAGGGGCTGGAAGCAAAGGACTGACCTCAGAGGTTGGTGAAGCTGGGGGTGGATGGGCTGTTTTCTGGCTGTGCCACATTGCACTGTTGGCTGGACCACTCTGAGCTACTAGGGGATAAAAATAATGTCTAGCTCATGCCCTCCTTAAATGATCCAAATGCCCAGCATGTAGGGAAATCTCAGTCAATCCCCCAAAGAGAGCATCTACTATACTTATGGGACATCTCCTCCCCAGATCCAAGTCTTCGAAAGAAGTCTAAAGCAGTGTGGCTGTTGTGGTTAAGCATGGTCAAGTTTGCCCTGATGCACAGCATCCCTGAGTACAACAGAAAGAAACACTGCCTGGCCGGCAGCACCCTCACATTCCTTATGTTGGAGCCTGCTGGTGCTGCCACTCTGCCAGTCCATCTCCTTCCTGGTCTTTTTCTTTGCCCCCGATCTTCTACTTTGCTAAGCATGATGTACATTTCCAGGGACTGGTGTCTAAAGTATGAGAGGAAGTCTTGCCATCCTTGCTTCTAAAGAGCATTCTGGATATACTGCTTCCAAGACAGATTCATTGGCTCTTTCAATATTCTCTGCCAACACTTCAATTCAAGTACATTCATTCTTCTTTGGTTTTCCTTATTTAGTGCTCAACTTCCACGTGAACATGAGGCAGTTGAAAATACCATGGTCAAGTATGCCTTAGACTTCAAAGTGACGGCCTTGATCTTCAACACTTTATCAGTCAGAATCCCTGGATGGCAGTGAGTTTGTTTTACAGTCTTTCTAAAATAGTAGAGAGGTTAAAACAAAAACAAAAACAAAACAAAACCCCAAATACACTCAGCCAATTCTACCTTCATGCCCTCAAACTTTGTTAATCTAGATACATGTAATCCCACATTACTGAATTATCTTTATAAGTGCTGCATATGAGGCTAGAGATTCTTGCATGACTACTAATCATTATGGTTGATGTTGACTTCAATGTGTGTGACCATTGATGTGAAATGGACAATATGGCCCTTGCTGAGGGAACAAAATCAAAGACCTTCCTTAGCCTAATGGTGACTTCACAAAAACATGAGTTTCAATGCTGTTAAAAATAAGTATTTTTTGTTTCTTTTAAAACAAACAGTTCTTAGTTCTTATCTGTAATAAAATTTCATTCCCATATTGTTTAGAAATTAACTGCTAAAAAGCTTGCTCTTTCATGGAGCTGACTGATGTGTTTAAGAATTTCATTTCATATTTTTCTACTGGAATTTCTTTAGGGTCAGTAATCACCTGTGTTGGTATTTCCTGGAAGTGGCCTGTCATAGCTCTTTCATGTTTACTTTACTCTTCAAACATGAAGGTTCGCTGCAAGGCAAATTCAAAGGCAGCTCTAAGGACTAAAAACATCACCAGGAATATTGGCAAGATTGTCAGTTCTATCCTCAAGTAAGAAACTCCTTCTGGGAAAACTGGAACTATGATAGAAACCAGGGCTTTGTTTGTCTAGGCTGGCAAAGATTTCTCTTCCTTCTTATCTAGACATGCTGTTTTCCCGAGACTTAGTTGAATCCATTGCCAGGAAGGGGAGAGGGGGAGAGTGGAGTCATTGCCCACCACCCATCTGTCAGTTCGTCATCCTGTGGAGATTGGCTCTTACGCTGATACTGAAATCTATGCTACTGGTACTTCACACACTAGCAAGGCCACTCGGGGCGGACAGCTTTTCCGTGGCGCTTTCAGACCAGGAAAAAGGCTCCCCAAGCTGCTTCCAAAAATCTAGTGCAGGGAGATGAGCCTCTATGTTGGAAGACAACAACAGACTCAAATATGCCAACCATCACGGAAACGGCACCGGACCAGCCCACCTATCATGATGTCGTACAGAGGATCACCATGGATCAACGCTGATTCCACGGCAACCAGCAACAACAGCAATAATAATGACCGTGAATTCCTACCCGGGGAAGCATTTTGTTGAACTTCTATAGAAATACGAATTCTCTAGAAAGTTGAGTTCCGCAGTGTCGTTTATGTTACAAGGGGAGGGGAAGACACCAAAATGCATGACAGTTGCTGAAGCTATCGGTGCGAGGATAGACCCGCTCATTTGGTGTGTTATTTGCTGTTTCAGCTGGGGTGGTCTGCGTGACCCTTCTCAACAGGCTGGAAGGAGACCAGATCACCACGCCTCATGACGTGCTGGTTGAGTACCAGCAACGGCCTCAGCTCCTGATTGCCACCTTCATCAAGCAACAGCTTGGCCTCTGTAGGACGCCCCCGCCCGCCCCTGCGAGTCCGGAGCGCACGTTGCAGTGTTGAAGCCATCGGTTCCGTGTGGCATTTTCATAGTGTTCTTACCACATACTAAAATGATAATGGAGTGATTTAACAGAATCCTTTTCCCTTGAAAAGATGGATTCATTCTAAAGTGTTTCAAATACACATGAAATTCAGATTTCATTTGTGAATGACTCCATCAGCCTAATGATTGCATGTTTTAAAATTCTGGAGGGTAGCATTTGGCATTCCACAGGCAGCTTTGAGCTCACTTTAAAATCTGTCATTTGTAGATCTCTCCCAGTCACTCCATTTCTGAAACCAATCCAGATATTCATGTTAGAACGTTGTCAGGCACTTCTAGGTGTTGGACAAGTGACAGAAATTGATCATCCACATTCAAAATACTTACAGAAAAAGTATCCATGTACTGCAAATCTCTACAGAAATATTCCCCAAGAGAAATGTATGTGATCCGACTTCTTTTCCTGCTCCATTCCAGGGCACGTCAGAACAGATTAGAGGCCACCATACTTGCCTATGCTTGGAATCTGATCCCACAGGCTCGACCGACACCAGATCACACATTTATTTTCCAATAAAAACCACCAGTAATCCAAAGAAAAATCCGAATGCCTCTTCCGAAATCACAAGGGACTAAAAATTGCCTTCTAGTGACTCCTTTATCTCTTGTAAGAAAACGTGGCTGGGATGAGGCTGTGTTTTCTGCTCCATTCCATTTGTAATTGAATTGAGCCTTGAGTTCAAGTGTGACAGTAGTCCTTTGGTGTGACTTTGTGGCAGATCCCTGCCCAGGCCCTGCTTGTACCTCTACCCAGTTAGACGACCTGGAGACACGGAGTCGCTGACAGGCAGCAACAAGTTCCCCATGAATCGGTCGTGCTTGGAGCTTCTGCAAAAGCTGATATACTCAGGAGTTTGGAAGCATGGATGGTGGAAGGATGGCTTGCAAACGTGTATAGTGTGTAATGTTCTGTACATATATTTATATGGTTATGGCTCAAATAAACTTTAATTCCAATCATGATGCAGACTATTTGGATCCTGGGACCCTTTCCACAGCATGGACACACCTCCCTGCCAGCTCTCAGCAGAGATCTGAGCCAAGATGAGTTTAAAATGGCTTCCTCTGGCCCTGGGAGGGTTTTTCCACTTAATCTGAAGCAATAAACAATCCTCCTGAGAGCTGCATCAGGCTGGGAACTTTGGGGGGCAGTAGAGCTGCTAGAGTGCAATTTTCAAGGTGCCCTGAAAATTGACCATCAAATACAAAGATCAGAGCTAAAAGGAAGGTGGAAAGCCTCCCAGTCATTTTCTGATGGAGTTTTCATTTTGCTTGTTTAGTTTCTTTTGTGTTTTTTTTTTGACCAAGTGGAAACCACTTCAGGGTACTCACTGTAAGCCTTCAGTTTGAATTTTGACCTTGTCTGCTGCTGCAAAATCTTGTTTTCCTTTTTACTGGGAGAAGGGGATGCTCTGGGAGGAAAAAAATAATAATATACAAACAGTTGACAATCCACCTTTCAACTCCTGACAATGAATGTGCATGTGGTTGTGCACGCATGCACGCATTTGTGTGCATGTAAGCATGCTTCCCACTAGTGTTTCCTGTCAGTGAGTGGCACTAGCAACTAAACCAGGCATCTGGGAAATCTCGTGGAGGCTTATTTTGCCTTCCTTCCCTTTGTCAATCACCCAAAACTCCCAAAGCAAACTCAGCATCAAGTAGCTGCCCACTCACCACGACCCTGTAAGACAGAGTGGAACTGTCCCTGTGGGTTTCTGAGAGTGGAACTGTTGACAGGAGTAGAAAGCCCTGTCTGTCTCTGGAGGAGCAGCTTCCGGTTTCAAACTACTGATTTTGTAGATCAGATTGCAGCCCAAGTTGTACCCACCAGGCCACCAGAGCTCCTACTGGTCCATCACCAAGTCCTATATTTACTGATGGTCTTGTTTCTCAAAAGTTGTCCATTTCTTTCCACCTATTCTGTACACACTGCTAACCAGAAGGTCCACAGTTCAAACCCACCAGCTGCTCTGCAGGATCAAGCTGAAGCTCTCTGCTTTTGTAAAGATTCAGAGTCTCAGAAAACCAAAGTCAGAATGAACTCGATGGCAATGAGCTGTGTGGGCAACCCCCACCTAGTCCACACCACTTTCATTTCTCTTCCAAATCATTGCAGCAGCTTCATTTCCCATCTCTTTGTCGCCATTCTTAAAATGTAGTTGGGTTACCGTCATTCTTCCAGGACTGTACATTAGTCTTACAATGAAGCCCAAGGCCCTTAGTACTGCACAGGGTTCCCTGGATTCACTATAGAGCCTGGTGTGGGGGGTCCAGCTCAGCTTGCTCCACATTTCCCATCTTGGGTTTCTAAGTTGTGCTCATGGTCGCTGTCTGCAGAGGAGGGTCAGGGATGGGAGTGTTCAGTCAAGAGGGAAAATATGGCTGAAATCCAGCCTGAACCCTGTTCCCCTGGGGGTGCACTGTGTCAGTCCGGGTAGACTAGAGAAACAAATTCGTGGACACTCATATTTGTTCAATAATCCATCCAATAATAAGAAAGAGCCTTACATACAAGAGTAATTATACATTAAGAAAACATCCCAGCTGAGTCCAGGTCAAGTCCATAAATCCGATATTAGCCCATATGTCCAATAACAATCTATAAATTCCTCGTCAGACTCACGCAACACATGCAATGACATCGAATGCAGGAAGATCACAGCCAGTGGGTGGGAAGTCTTGTGAACCCAGTATCCAGTGGTGGTGTTAGCATCTCAGCGCTGGTGTGGGTCTCCACGTGGGTCCTCCAGCTCCAGGGATCTAGCGTAGCTCCATGTGGCTTGTCAACAGGAATGTCTCCCAGTGTGTCCCACCTCCAGTGAGTGATTTATCTCCGTAGTGCCAGTAAATGAGGTCATCAAGTGCAACTTGATTGACAGGCTAAACTCCACCCCTTCACTCTTAATAGACTCAAGTTGGTACCAGATTATATAACTACGACATGCTCTCTGGCTTGGGACCATATCCACGCAGAGAGAGGCTTTCTCTAACCATGCCATGTTGTAGAGGAGAGTCAGGGCTCTTAGTGCTACTGTCTCTTCCCATACTGACCTTGAAAGGCCACCTGGCTTTTCTTTCTCACAGTTTAAATCTCAGGAGTAGAAAGCCTCATCTTTGTCCCAAGGAGTGGATGGTGACTTCAAACTGCTGATCTCACCATTCACAGCCCAACACGTCACTCACTTCTCCCTGAGGGCTCCTCTCCCTGCGTGCGAGAAAAAGAATATTTACACTAGGCCTCCAAATGTTCACATCATATCATGGGTTCCACATCTTCCACACTCTGGGTCAGAACCGCGTGCTGGTGTTTTGTAGCCAAAGCACAGGTCCTGTGAGCGGCCCTCGCCATGCAGCTCTCCACTCTGGGCTCTGGAAACATCTTCCCTCCCAGGCGCAGCAGTCGGCTGGGAACAGCTGCTCTCAGCTGAACCAGCCTTTATTGCTTTCCCTTAATCCTGCCCACCCTCCGTGAACAGCCATGTGAGTAAGTTCCCTCCGTTACCCAGTTCACTTGTGCCATCTGGTCCCTGCGGGGATCGAGTAATACAGCCTCCAAAATACATCTGGGGACCCAAATCCATTCTGAAAAACAATGACTTAAGGAACTAAAATCACTTTTTATAAAACTTAGACATATTTTACTGAATAACAGAAGTTAAGTTGCGTGTGTGTGTG